TCCAACTTTCTTCAGAATAGTTTCCTATGATTTATATTTATGGTATAAAGTTATTTTGGCTAGATTCGAGCCGCTTGGAGTTGGATATTCGCATAAAAGGCTTACTAATGGATTGAGTTAGCGTGTTTTGAGATAAGTAGCTTGCCTAACTTTTTTGGGGGGTGGGGGAGGGGGGGGGGATTGCCCCTTAGGATTGGTATTGTTTTGTGTTAATTGTGGTGCGTGAAAGACGTGTACGCAAGGTAACGAGTGGTTACACAGGCAAAATTTTAAGCTATATAGATTCTTTTCTTGCCTTTAATTGAGCTGTCATAACATGTTATATTCGTCATCATTAATCTATGCTTAGATGCTTCACTTGACATTGTTACTACTTGTTTCATCTCTTACTTGTTATTTGCCCTTACATGCATTGTTGAAGTTACTATTTTCTCATTTCCTTGTTAAATACTTAACTGTTGAGTTACCTTACTTGAAGTTGTTATTTCTTGAAAAATCTTATTGTTGATTTTTGGTGTTGAAGTTGTAAAGTTGTGATCATATTGAGGCAAAGTTGTAAATTGTTGAAATACCATTCTTGTTGAGTTATTCACTTGGTTGCTATTGTTGAGACTCTTGTACATATTGTGATTGAGCCATGGGCTATTTATTGTGTAAATATTATTATTGTTGACTTCTTTGGCAAGTAGTGGTATTAGGCAATTGAGGTGCAGATTGTGATATGTTGTTGTATTGATACGCATGCGGTGGTATAAGGATAAGGGTTGATATGCATGCGGTGTGATAAGGTGGGCTAAAATGCGGGTAACTGTTTTAAAAAGATGATGTTTAAAACTAAATGCAAGGCTCCCGCAGTGATATAAGGAAAGATTGTGATTGTGATTGTGAAATGAGATACGAGGCGGTACCTTGGACATGATTCTTGTTGTTATCTTTTATTTACATCACTTGTGTTTTGTTTGCATCATTTTTTTGGTGTTCTTATTACGTGTTTCCTCCCTTGATGCCTTTATTACCTTAACTTTTGGTGTAGCTTATCTTGTTATATTTATTCATTATTTCATTCCTTGTTTCCATTATTATATTGTACCATACATGTTCAGTTTCTTTATTTATTCTAGTAGGTGTCTTGACATGACCTCGTCACTACTCTACCGAGGTTAGGCTTGATACTTACTAGGTACCATTGTGGTATATTCATACTACGCTTCTGCACAGCTTTTTGTGCAGATCCAGGTACTTCATACCAGCCTAGGCATCGGTGAGTTCAGTGTGGATTGAAGACTTCAAGGTATACCTATCGGCGTTCGCAAGCCTCTGAGTCACCCTTTATCTTAGTTTCTATTGCATACTTCTATTATATATACTGATGTATTAGGGATGTTTCAGTATACTCGTGTAAAGCTTATGACTCGGTTTCACTAGATTTTGGGATGTTATTTTCAGTTGTATTGTGGAGTCCTTTTTATGATAGTTGTTGTATTTAATTGAAAGTTTTATTATTATTTCCGTTAATTCTTCATGTATGTTAGGCTTACCTAGTCTTAGAGACTAGGTGTCATCTTGACATCCTACAAAGGGAGATTGGGGTCGTGATAAATCCCTATACCTTACATGCAGGCTCCTAATCTTCTCAGCTACCAATGAGGGACTTTGTTCACACACATAATAATCTTCCCTCACCCCCCAAACTAAGTTCCATGTGGGCCACTACCACGAACCACGAGTCAAATTTTGAGATTCACTATGTGCGACCGACATCATTAGAATATTTATGGCAACCAAAGCTTGTAACTAACTTCTTCTTGTGTGCGCGTCTCCAAGCTTGAAAGGTAAGCAAACCGAGGCTCAGGCTATCACTGTCCATTACCATACTCGTCCAGCCGAACCTGGGATTTAATACTAGTTGTTGGGCTCAACTAGCCCGTAGATACTATTAACTTGGCGTGATATTGTTCGTTTTGGCTGAAACCCGCGCGATTTTCCTCAAAAAGGTCTCACACCATTAAGATATGCCTACAGCTTGTATAGGCTCTCAATCTTTTCAGCTACCAATGTAGGACTTCGTTCCCAAATCCAATAATTTTTCCCTTAAACTATGTTTCGCGTGGCTCACTATCACAATCCACGGGCAATTTTCAAGATCCATTGTGTGCGAACCACATTGTTAGAGCATTTATAGCAACCGAAGCCCGCAACTATTTTCTTCTTATATACGCATGCCCAAGCTCATAAGGGTAAGCAAGTCGATCCCCACCCCATGACTATATCATCGCCATACTCGTCCCGACAAAATTTAACTCTAATACCAGTTGTTGGGCTAAATCAGCCTGTATATACTTTTAATATGATGTGATACTTTTAAGAGATCCGAATATCTTATATGAAGGCTCCCAAATTTTTCAACTACCAATTTGAGATTTTATTTGCACATCCAACAAAAAGATATTTTTTCACTATTTATATGATTTGTTACATCATCATCCCCAACTATCATTCTTGCCATTTAAATCCAAGCTTTCCAAAATATAAAGCAAGTCAAAGGAGAAAAAAGGAACCAATAGAGAACTCTGTAACTATTTAACATGTACTAATAATGAATCTCTGACTTTTAAAACTGCATAGTCATATTGAGGTGTCCCTCCCCTACGATTTATCTTTCCACCCCAACAAGCGGACGACAAGTATTTAATTACTAAACTAGTACCTTACAACTTTAACAACACGTTACTCCCTCCATCTCAAATTATCTGTCGTGATCTTTAAAAATAGTTGTCTCAAATTATTTGTCATTTTAGAAGTTTAGACAAAATTAATTTTTTTTTCTCATTTTACCTTCAGTAGTAATTGTTCTTGAAGATGGAGATGACACATAAATAGAATAAATATTCAATGAAGATAGATTATATCTTAAGACATAAATAAGGGTAAAATTATCAAAAATCTCTTCTAATTAATATTTTTAAGGGCCGTATAAAAGAAAAATATGACAGATAATTTGAGACGAAGGGAGTATTGTTCTATTTTGTAACTCTATATGTTATGAAATTTATCCTAGAAAGAACAATGTAACAAATCCGAAGAACTTTCAGAAGGTGCTATTAGCAATATTTAATAACACACACTTTGGATCAATGTAAAAAAGATTTTACCAAATAAAATTACAAACCATTGGGTGATCGAAGATACAAAATTTTGAATATAATAATTGGAGAGAGGACATATGAAAGGAAGAGTATCTATAACTACACATCAGTTTGACTAGTTAGAACTGCAGAAAGGTCGACAACAGCTATTCTAAGCAAGTTGGAGTCGATTGTATGAACCATGCCCTTTTTGCTTCATTTAAGCTTATCTGAGGCCAATATTGAACAAAATAAAAATAAAGATAATAGGTACTAGAAGTTCTCTACACAGAAATGTTGAGTAATCAAAAATTTAGAATCCTTGTCCTGTTGTGCTAAGCCATCCTTCAACTCCGAAATCTTGTTGCACAAGAACAAAAAGAGGGGGGTAGGGGGTGTTTCTCCAGAAGCTATTCACACACATATATATATATNATATATATATATATATATATATATATATATATATATATATATATATATATATATATATATATATATATAAATAAATAAATGATCTATCTTGATGTGAAGTAATTTAAAGATGAGTTCTTTTCCAAGACTTAGGGGGAGAAAGCTGAGAAAAAGGGATCCTCAAGTTTAGCTTCTGCTTATTCTTCTTCTTGACGATCTTCTTGTGATCACGCAGAACACAAACATCGCCATTGTAGATGAATAAGCTATATTTTGAGGATTCTGAGAAGCAAATAACAAATGGGTGGGCGGGGTAAATAATCGGAGTTGCGTATGTGGGAAAAGTAAACAATTTAGACTTGAATATTAAAGGGTAAATAATTTGGGCTTAATGGGTATAAAACCAGATTTTTTCATTTTTGGATGGGAGGCAAAAACATCAAATTACTCTCGTTTAAATTAGGGCCGCTTATCGGGCGGATTGGGCGGTTATTTACTCTTAACAGTTTGGCTTATCGGTTATCGGCTTTTAGATGTATTAATCCGCTAGCCACCCGATAAGATATCGGGTGGATTGGCATCGGTTTAGCTCTTATCGGACGGTTTAACGGCCTAATTAAATCTATATTGCACATGAGGCAATTACCAAATTTAGCGAGGGTCCAAAATTTGCTTCGCCGTGCTTCAAATGTATGCTGATGTTGGTCAAAGAATGAGATTTCTTGCTCTTGTTTTATAATTGGTCCAATTTTCTTTAGATGTCGCTCTAATTTCTAAACAATCTAAGAACACCTGCCGAAATGTGTGCGGATTGACGTTTTTTTTACATGCAAGCAAACCTGCAGATGTATGTGTTAAACTCAATTTAACAACAGATTCTACTCGTTAAACTATCTCTTGTGTTTTAAGTTTTGGTACTTCCACTGCACCTATTGGAGGTGGTAAGAATACGTGAAGCAATCAAGTAAATTGTTTTTGGTTTGATACGATTGAAAAGAATGAGCGAAGCAAGCAATTAAAATTTGTTTATCTTTTCTGTTTAACAGCCTGCCCNTTAATATATATATATATATATATATATATATATATATAATATATATATATATATATATATTATATATATATATATATATTAATTCAATATATATATATATATGAATTAATATATATTTTTGATTAATTCAATATATATATATGAATAAAAATAATTTTTATATGTATATATATATTCTTAACGGGTTAACGGATTATCCGTTAAGAAAATTGAATAATCCGTCCCCAAACCGATAAGCCGTTAATAAAAAAATTCAATATGTTCCCCGTCCGTTAAACCGTTAACCCGATACCAATAAACCATTAAGCTTCGATTTCGGTTGGGTTTTCGGTTTCCGTTCGGTTTTGAACGCTCCTACTTTAAGCGGACATTTAAAAGGTGACCAATTTTCTAGCTAAGCTAAACAAAAAGCTCGTCACAGGACAAATACTGATTTCGCGATTGGCGCGTCCTTGCCTTTCCTATTCCCTAATCCCTATAATAAAGTCCGTTACCAATTAGAACCATATCTATCCGCCGGCGGCAACCGCCGGCGATCGATCTGAAGTCTGAAGTTGGAAAAAGGAGAGAAGTGAAGGCAAAACAGGAAGATGGAGAATGAGAATGCACTGGGATTGGGGAAAAGTAACAAGCAGAAGAGCAATGGAAACGAGATTAAGAGTATGTTAGCGTTGAAATCCATATTCTTTTTCAGCGGAAAAATGCGTGACGGTGACAATGAAGGTGTTGATGATGTAGCCACCACTCCGCCTTATCAGCCTTTACCTTTTCTCTCTCCACTCGCAAACTCTGTTGTCTCTCGTTGTTGCAAGTAAACTCCTTTTCTTTCCATGTCCAAACATACAAATGTATTAGTAGCTTATTGTCTCTGAAATGCGATTGAACATAAGGCACGAGGCTGCTATTACCAGTGTACCCATGCTGAAGTTTAAACAATGCCTGTTGGGTAGATGGTTTCAATAATCTACTTAATATTTATGTTAGCATGCTATTACAATGCGAATGTGCTCATTTTCAGAGGCGCATCCATGATTTGATGGTTGCCGGTGACACTAAACTTACCACTAGTCAAGGAGATTGAATTAGGGGGTAAATTTGGTTGGTTTGCTTTGTTTAGAATTAATTCGATTCGGTTCGATCCTTTTTGAATTAATTTGATCACTTTACAAGATATTTGGTGCAATAATAAATACGTGATAAGTAAACTGAAAATGTTGGATCCTTTATTTGACATCAAGGAAAAGTTGACCTTAAATAGATAAAAGAAACAAAAGAGTTAAATCAAATTCAAACAAAAATTCGAGATCTAGAAAAAGAATACAGAAGCAAATATGATTTTATAATTTGAATATATAATAAAAATGGCATTGTACAAAGAGAAGAGAAGAAAAGAAAATGAAGAAAGGAATAAGCAAGGCCAAGAGTAAAAGTAACATTAGCTTGCTAATCTAGTAAAGCAAGTATCTATCTTGGGCATTGCACCAGTAAAAGTGGTACCTTGACCAAGGCACCTTGGGTCACTTTGTGACTTCGGTTGCCACTCTTCAAATATAGACGATCTTTTGGCGTGAAATTCTAGTACATACATCAAAGTCTACCCAATCGACCGGATGGCACCCCCATCCTCTCCATAGATACGCCCCTGCTCATTTTACAACTGTATCATGGGCATTAGCAGGTATCGCATGAGAGAGAGAGCGCGCAGTGTAGTCAAAGGCTCATTTAAGGCCGCTTAAGCCTTGAAGCTTAGAAAAGCTCAAGGAGGGCGCTTCACGTTGCTTAAGTTGCGCTTCAGTGTAATGCAAGGCACTAAGGCTTGTGCCTCATTGCACATGAGTTCTCTCTTGAATCAAGCGGCACTAAACAACAAATATAATCGGAAATAAGTGTATGGGCTTCTAAGGGAAACATTATGAATGAATTTGTTACTTTGTTCTTGAATTACATATAAATTTTTATTTTTTCCTTGCACCTTTTTTAATTAAAGCCCACACTTTAAATGCGCTTTGTGCTAAAAGCCCAAATAAACCTAGAGCGCTTTTTAGAGCTTTTTGCTTTTGACAACACTGTGAGAGAGAGAGAGGAGGGAGGAAACATTTTGGCTCCTCCAAAATGTCATAAGAAGTTGCGTTAGTATTTTGGGTATTACCTTGTGCATCAATGAAGACAGTGAGAAAGCTGGACCTTGAAAATTGTGTTTGCTTGTTGTACGGGCATTAGGCAAGTGTTCCTGTTATACCTTAGTCTTTCTACAGCCACCATGTATTGGTAGAAATGGTTGTTGATGAAAGAAAGCATGCATGTAACATGCCAGAAATGTCTCTTTGCTTTTTGTCCTCTGTTTACATTTAAAGACAGTTTGGAGTCTGGATGGAGGGATTTGACCTAATCATTTGCACCTTGTTGGATATACCAAAGAGAGTTAGGATTCAACGTGCTTTGGATTAGTCATGCAAACTCAAATCACATTCAATATCAGCCTTTATTTTGGGTTCGTTTCAATGACACTTGAATACATGCTATTTGCAATTTATTTGAGGTGACTGGTGAGCTGACACACGATTGCAGTGCTTAAGTGCAAACAATTGGGATAGCTAAACTCAATATTTTAGGAAAACGAATGATAGATGATGTAACGTATAGAATCAAAATATGATGATTGAACTAGATGAGTGGTATGGGAGTATTTTATGATACCATGATAGCCACCAAAGTGAAAGGCGAGTTATATAGAATAATTGTCCGCCTAACCATATTATACGGGAGTGTTTGTTGAGCTTCTAAGGCCCAACATATGTACAAGATTAGTTCCATAGAAATACAAATATTATGATGGATGATTGACCTGTGGTTATACGAGGTTAGATAACATTAGAACTGATCACATTTTACAGAAGGTGTGAGTAGCACACATTGAGGACAAATGAAGGAAGATACTTGGGATAGTTTCATCATGTCTTACGTTTGTTGAAGATGTTAAATGAGACGAGCTAGATCTGATTTTTTTTTGTCTGGTAAGGTAGACGTAAAATCACACGAAAGGAAGTTATCTTGAAGGACCTAAAATCTCTTGAAGCGCATGCACACTTATGGAGAACCTCTAGTGTTAGAGATCACAAATTTACTGAGTAAATGTATGAAATGGATCCAATAGGAAAATGGATTGTGAGAATTCATAAGCTGTCCCCAAAACAAAGTAGCTTGAATTGAGGTGTAGTCTTTTTTTCCCATTTCTAACATCTAAATGATGTACGAAAATTCTCTGCTTCTTGATTGAGCTAGTTGTGCTTTTTGGTTGAAATGATCAACCATATTACAAGGACATCAATCACTAATGATGTTTGCTTGTAACATGATTTCCTTGGTATTTAAATTTGAAATCATCCTTAGTCTATATGATGCTAAAGAACAATGGGGCTCTTGCACTTCTCTTTTTTATGGTTAGAGGTTAGTGATTGTTCTTGGTTTCATGTCCTCTATGTAACTTTCTAGGGTCCTGATGTCCTTGAATAGTCAACTCTACTGGAGAGCCGAGTTAAATGTTATGCATCAATACTTTTATCTATTTCTTTATCTCGAGAATTGATGTGGTAATATACTTTCTTCTTTAGTAGGAAGTTCTTTTAATAAATCTTACAATTTAAATTAGTATTGTTTTAGACATTTACCATTTTATCCTTTCGTGAATATACAAATGTGATTTATCTTATCGTGAATATACATATTATTTCTGCCAAGAAGTTGGGTGACAGTAGATCTTTAACATCAACATTCAACTCTAAACTGGAATGAAATTTTTTTCTAACAGCCAAGCGGTGGGGAGAGAGACTCCGCTAGGAAATAGGAATCTTACTTCATTAAAAGCAAAACAAAGTCTGTCTTTTTCCTTTTCTTGGAGCTTAGGTTTTAATATAAAGAGTCAAGCACACAAAGAATAGAGAATTTAAGCTGTAACATTGCTTCCTTTTCTTAAAAGGGTTTTGGTTAAAAAATATAGAATTCATGTTAACTAATTTCAACGGTTGTTCAATCATGATGAAGGTAAAACTGGTCCATCTAACGTAAAAGCTCTAGCTCCTCTTTTGTTTTTCACTTTTGTTGGGAGAAAGGATGCTTAGTGCATCTTTTCTGTGGCACTCTTCTTATATCTGTAGCTGTCACTTTAAGTTTTAATAAAGGCAGAAATGTCTAGGATTTTTTTTCTTTTTAATCAGTTAGGAGAATGAATTTTCTACTAAACAATTGGTGTCACAAGATTTTATTTAATAAATCATTTGGTACAAAGCGATGTCATAATTCAATCAAGATGTGTGTCTATTCTTCTTGATTTTGTTCTGATAATTATTATGTTGATAAATAGTTTTATTACTATACCAGCACTAAGCTAAGGCTTGCATAATTGCACCAGAGTCTAGACTGAGTCCTTATACAATTGCAAGATAAGTCTAACAGGATTCAACTAGCACCAAATAGAGATTTTGAAGACATTTATATACAAGATATATGATCCTCTATTCCATCATAACCTCTACTGTTCCTATCTATTTACACCGTCCACAAAATGCCAAGGGGAATTTCATAAAAAGAAAAAAAGAAAATCCAAAATGATATTTTTCTTCAAACTGGTCTCTGTATCTTCGTTATCCTCTGACCCTGCTGCATAATGCTTCTTTTGAGCTTCCTACCATAATACACTGCACGCCCAAACAAGTTCAGAAACATACTCATATTATGCCAGGTCAGATAGCAATGTAGAGAAAGATGGTCCACATATTCTATGTAAGTGCACCTATTATATAAACTGAACCTCTTCTTTGTAAATTAGCTTGCGTAGGCACGGATTCTATAATGCTGTCCATTCAAAGAATGCCGCTTTTAGTGTGGTTCTTGTTTTCTGTAGCATTTTCCAAGGCCGTTATGCATCTTTCTTAGAATTCAGATTTGTCAGCAACTTGTGACAAGATTTTACAGGGAACCTCCAATCTGTCTTGGCTGTCCATAGCAAAATATCGGTCCTCTATCAATTTCCCAGTAGAAAGTATCCTTCAGAATTTTCCTGACAATTATTATTTCTGGTTACTGCACGTTCTTTTATTCTGTTCATAATCCACAGACATACTAGACCACATTCTAAACGCATCCTTAAAGCCTTTCCGAGAAAGAAATCTGTGATAGAATTTTTTCCCTTTTCACTTTTTTCTGTAGAAATCGAACAAGAAGGTGACTTGGTGAAAATCTTGCCACAGTGCCACTAGAGTTTTAAACTTTCCTGTAAGCTAAGATATTTGTTTATGAGATGTCTTAACTTATTGTCTATTCTGCCTCAACTGCAGGATTTTGCAGTTACATATTGAAGAGTTGCAACATCAGTTTGATTCAGATCTTCCTGATGATGTTAAGCAACCTTTACTGATATATGCGAGGAACTTTCTGGAATTTTGCTCCTTCCAAGCTCTTCAAGTGGCAACCACCCAGCCTGATTATCTGAGCGATAAGGACTTCCGCCGCTTGATGTTCGACATGATGCTAGCATGGGAGGCTCCTGGTGTTGGAAATCAAGTACTAAACTACATGAGATATCATTTAGTAGCTCTTTTTCAAGATTGCTTTCTTTTCTTAATTTCTAAATTCCAGTTGCTATGCTATAGGTTTGGCTGTCCATTTGTACGTCTAATTTTCTGATGATACCGTCATGGGTTTGTCTTCACAGGAAATTGCTGCTTCTGATGAGAGGGAAGTGGAGGATGAAGATAGCTGGTCATTGTTTTATTCGGATTCTACAAATATGGCTGTTCAGGTTGTAATGGATTAACATTTTCCTTCATTTAGTATCTATTTTTGGAGTAGAAATTTGTAGGTTACTACTTTTGTCTGTGACAGAAAATTGTATACCTCCACTATAGAAGGTTCTATACTGTTTGAAGGCATTAGAAATAAAAATTCGTTTATATCTAAAGAAAGAAAAATATGTTCTTTCTTGGGGTTGCATTAACTGCAAATAATTTTCTCAGAATGGCATCATGTTTTTTCTTGAAGTTTCTGCTGCCATTTGTTTATCCATTTTATTTCTCTTCTCTTGCCAGGTTGATGATAAAAAGACGGTTGGTGCAGATTCATTTTCACGAATAGCTCCTGCTTGTGCTATTGTTGCAGACATTATAACAGTTCACAATCTTTTCGATGTCCTAGCAAGTTCTTCAGGTCATCGGCTTCATTTCCTTATATACGACAAGTACCTTCGGAGTCTTGAAAAGTATGGTCCATTACTGAGCATTAGTTGTTGGACCCCACTTTACCTTTTTGTTCTTCGGGTACTTTACTTTCTCACAAAAATTGAAATCAAGCTGGTCACATATCTTTTGAGATTAGTTGGTTTCAAGTCCTCAACTAAGGACATAATTTTCACTGAAGACTTAGAACTTTCATTACAAGATGGAGTTTACCTGATGCTCGAAGATGGTAAAGCATTATTTAGATATAACTTGGAAAGCTGCTTAAAGATATATTTAAATATGAAAATAATTTATATGCAGTGATACTGCATAAAGATGAGCTAGAAATATTGGGTATGTCATTTCGAATTTCTTAAAAATTTTGTTGTTCAATCGGCTCGGGGACTATTATCATGCTTCTCCTAGCTTCATTTATTGAAACTATTTGCACATATCTCCCTAACTCGTTGGTGTTTTGGAAGACATATTCATGCACTTACTCCCACTTCTCCATCTCCTGCAAAGTTTGCCTGTTCATTTTGATGTTTGCTGTAGGACTAGACAAACATGGACAAACATCGACTGACAAAGTTGATCTTTCTTTCGACCCACTTGTACCAGCAATCTGTCTCAAATTTTGCATTCTGTGATCTCAGATGTCTTGTTTCCAGCAACAACAATTAGGGAGAGGGGGGAGTTTCTCACTCTAGCAAAGTATTGTTGAATTTTCTATTCTGAATTTGGTCCAAATTTTATAATTGTATTCTTTACGGTAGCATAAAATAGGGAGGAAATTATTGCCCCCTTTGTTTAGTTATCTGATAGCTTATAAATATGTTAACAAAAGCATCGGATGTGAATTTTTCTGATTTTGGCCTTCTAATTTATGTTTCTTTTTTTGGATAAAAGTAATAAGTTTCATTTAAAAAGGGGCAAAAAACATGCCCGTTTTCGTGTACAAGGAGTATACCAAGAAATATAGGATCTCACAACAGTTCTAATTTATGTTATATAATACATGATTTAAGTTTTCCATCAGCAGGAAAAAATCATAGATCTGTCTCTAGTTGAGTCTCTCTCTCTCTCTCTCTCTCTCTCTCTCTCTCTCTCTCTCTCTCTCTCTCTCTCTCTCTCTCCCTGTGTTGATAACTCAGGCTTGGACATATTTTAGCAGAACCGTCATGGTAATATTTTGTTTTAGAAACTTTACGAATTGGATGCACTTGTAGACTTGCTTTGATATGAAGTCTTGGTATATCCAGACTAAGATCTGGCGCTTAGATGAATGATTACTTATCAGTTGTTTCCTCATTTCCTACTGCAGGGTGATAAAGGCAGTTCAGAATCTCAGCGGACCTCAAATGATGTCCAACCTTTCTCTTGCAGAGGAAGAGATAATTCTAGAGGTAGATGGTACGGTACCCACACAACCAGTTTTGAAACATATGGGAATATCTGCATGGCCTGGTAAGTCATAGTCTTTTTTCTCAAAAGATGATTCCAGGTTTGATGCTTTCAGTACCATAACTCTACTAAAATCATCTAAAGATAATTTCATTCCTTTTTGAAATATGAAACAAAAGAAGGTTCTGAAATGGTAGTTTTACATTTTCATTTTTTTGGAATGAAGGCTTTGCAAATTTTAGTTTTGGAGGTTTAAGGCAGTGACAAGTGGTTGCGAGGCTGACGGCATGTGAACTGTGTTTCTTCAAAATTCTATAAGAAGCACCAAATTTTACCATATTATACAGTAAATAGAATAAGTATCTGTTTCTGTCTGAAATATTTAATGCTATATATTCATGTAGATCTACGTCGCATTAAACAAGATGAGTCAAGAAGTACCTAATCCCCCCAATAAAAAATGAGTAACGGAGTAAAGACAAGTGAAACACCCTTTTTTTTTGGTTTTGATAAGGAAACTAAATATTCAGGTTGAGGTTCGGGCCCCAACCTCAATGATGGACATGCTTGACCAGTGAACCAGGAAGCCCTCTTTTAAAGAGAAGTGAAACATTTGTAGGTGTAAGAAATGAAAAAAAATTGCACAAAGTTTCCCAGAATATGTTGAGTTTTCCTAGGGTCGCTTGGTTGAGACGACGAACACATTGCATTTTAGGCTCTGGATGTGATCAAGTACTCTGCAAAAGTGGGGAAAAAGGTAATAACAAAAAAATAATTTGCAGGGTGTGCTCAAGCAAATCAGGCATCTGGTTTGCGCTATGAGGAAGAAAGACATTGAAAGAGAAAAAAAAGATACAAAAGAGAAAAGTTCAAATGTCATAAATATTCTTGCCAATGTTCACCTATTAACTAATTCATCAAATCTGGAAGATTAAGATAAGCCAAATATACTTTGGTGAAGTAAAAAAGAAGGGTGTGTTCGCTAGCAAATTCAGTTGGATAATGATGCATCTGTGTTTGGTAAGACTGGATTACTTAGTGTATGTCCCATCATTAATATAGTAGCATCTGGTTTACCAAGGGTAACCTCTTATGAGGAATACCCATTATACAAAACATAGATGTTATTTGAATTAGAAAATACTCTGTTTTTTTTTTCTCCGGGAGAATTGATTCTGTTTCTGTTTATCTGAAAACAATTGAGTGTTTGGATAGTTACACACTTTTCCATCCCGAATGATGACCACCCCTACCTAAGTCTATTAGCTTCTAGAGCAGCATAAGCAACCGTTTGTCCCAAACTTGCCTTATTGTTGATAATCTCCAGAAAAAAGGGTTGTCTTTATGTAGCAGGTGCTACTTATATGGCAGCCAAACAGAAACCTCAACCACTTTTTTGCACTGTTTTATTACTGATTAGCTATTCTTGACTTCGTCAGAATCAAGTGGTCCATGCCTGGGAATACACATGATCTTTGGCATTGCTAGTATAGGTGGCAGGGGCTGGACAAAGCAAGAAATAGCAGGCGGAGTACTATTCCAGCATGTATTTGGGGGTGATTTGGAGAGAAAGAAACCCAAAATATTTGAGAGAAGCACAAATCAGTCTGGTGGATTAAGTTAGATTCTATCATGTTATTTCATTTTTGGTGTAAAATGGAATACGTAAATGAGGCATAAACTCTCCTAGAACCCATAGAGGCCCTCTAGGATTACATGAGGGCCATACTTTTGGTGTTTTGCACTGCACAGAAACTCTAGGACTAACTTTGTGCTGTTTATAAATACAATTATTACCTTTTCAAAAAAAAAAAAAAAAACCGGTAGACGAACGAACGAGTCTTGCCATTTCAGGTGAACTGTCAATGCTCATTTATAAAGTTTTTGAATTAATGAAAAGGGGAAAACAAGAAAAAGGTAAAAAAGGAAGGAAAGAAGCATGTATGGGTAATATGGAAGGGAAGAAGAGGAAGGAAATTAAAGGCAAGAAGCAACAAAGGGTGTGGTGGAGTGGTAAGTACTCCTTCATCCTTAACCAGAGGTCTCGGGTTCGAGTCCCTGGGTATGGAGTCGCCTTTGTTAGAGAGTGCTTAACCCCCCAGTGTGGGACTTCCCGGTGTGAATCCGGATTTAGTCGGACACTGGGTGGGAAACCAAAAAAAATAAGAATTTGAAGGCAAGAAAATAAGAACATTGACGATGTGGAGGGAAGGGGGAGTGGTTGGAGGTGATGGGACATTGAAGGCAGGAACCAACGAGGGTTGTGGTGGAGTGGTAAGTACTGCTTCATCCTTAACCAGAGGTCTCGGGTTCGAGTCCCTGGGTATGGAGTCGCCTTTGTTAGGGAGTGATTTACCCCCTAATGTGGGACTACCCGGCGCGAATCCGGATTTAGTCGGGCTCCAATGTGAATACCGGACACTGGGTGGGACACCAAAAAAAAAAAGAATTTGAAGGCAAGAAAATAAGAACATTGACGATGTGGAGGGAAGGGGGAGTGGTTGGAGGTGATGGGACAGTTGTGTAAGGGGAGGGAAAGATGATTAGCAGAAGGTGGGGTAGAAAACGATAACTTTGGGTAGGTATGAACAAGATAAATGAGGTAAACGGGAAGCAAACCAAACTAAAAGAAGGTGGAGTCTGAAGGGGAATGGTGGCTGCTGCTTTTGGAGGGAGATGAAGAGGAGAAGAGGAATGAAGAAAAGGTTGACCCTCACCCTAATTTTAGGCGGGATGATAACAGTAATTTAAGATGTATTACATGTGGGATTCCTAAATTTGATACTAATATCAACCCGTCTAAACAAGATAACTAGGGAATTGAAGAATACTAAGTTTGATAATTGGCTAATTTGACTTTTAATACTATACCAAATATGGGAATTGGAGGATAAGGAGTCTGTTGGTTGACTATTTTGACTTTAATCCATATCAAACATCGGTTAAAAGAATTCCAGGGATCTTGAATTGTCAAATACAAAATAAATAGATAAATCAAATCCAGAAAAGAAATTGTGCTATTTATCATGTTTGATATATAGTCAAGCCACGGTTGTTCCGATTTTTTTGGTTATAGTGATTGGCTAATATACACCTATAAAAACGTTTGACATTTAAATCTTATTTGGCTATCCCAAAAATATATAAAATATCAGTTTGCTTTTCATATTTTAATGTTATAAAGATAAAAAAATTATTTAAATTTAAAATCTCAAAAGATATTCATATTTCACTAATTAAAAGATGGTGAACTCTTACCCAATGGGATACAAGTATGTTCATCTTTCAACGGAAAAATCCTTAATGATTGAAGTATGTATTGATGTACTCCCTCCGTTCCAATTTATGTGAACCTGTTTGATTGGGCACGGAGTTTAAGAAAAAATGAAGACTTTTTGAATTTGTGGTCCTAAATAAGTTAAAAAGGGGTCCGGAGTATTTGTGATTATAAAAACTTCTCATTAAGGGTAGAATTGGAAGTTTAAACTAAATTGTTTCCAGATTTAGAAATGGGTCATTCTTTAACGGACCAAAAAGGAAATAGGTTTACATAAATTGGAACGGAGGGAGTAATATTCTTTGTCAAAAATGGTGTATTAAAGTTCCAAAATATCTGTTCAAAATCTCTAGACCTTTTATTAGTAATATGAGAGACTCTAATTCAATGTGGTTATGATAGCAAAGCCGCACAATGCTTTCCTTATCATGAAAATAAATGACTAGCAACAGAAGTGGGAAATAGTAAAATCAATCAATATTTGAGTAAGGTTGTTACGAGGAGTAAGTTTACAAAAAGTGTACTGTTATATTGATGGTTGTTGCTATTATAGGTAGAAAGCTGTTGCAGAGAGGTAACATATAACATGAAGAATTGATTTTAAAGAAAATTTGGCTGTTAAACTGAAATTGTTATAGAGGGTGGATGTTATAGAGAGGTTTGACTATATCTATCAACAAAGCTATCAAGCTTCATAATTTTCTTGAACTAAGTGAAGGTGTAGGTGCTTTTTTTGCTGATTCTAATACTGCAAAATACAGATTTCCAATAGAAATTTGATCTGTTCACTCATTTAAGTTCCTCATAAAATATTTAGGAGACCTGTCTATTTCTTAATCAAAGTTTACCAAGAACAATTTTGATCGTAAAGACTTCATGACAAATTGCTTTATTTTTACCGTTCCTTAAGACGATGGTATATCGGAAACAACCTCTCTGCCTTTATAGGCTAGGGGTAAGGCTCCGTAGACACTACCCTACCCAAACCCACGTATGGTATTAAGCTGGGTTTGTTGTTGTTGTTGTTGCTGCTGTAAAGACTTCATGACAAACTTACCTTTTCTCGGAAAGGAAAAAAAAGACTTCATGAAGAAGCATATTTTCAAAACTTTCCTTCTGATGATAATTTGTATAGAGTTAGATATAGGCAAATATCATTAGCTATTATACATTTGGACCTTCATTTTTATATTGTTCCCCACCTACCAAGAACAACTTTGATCCGAAAAGACTTTATGAAGAAGCATATTTCTAGAACTTTCCGCCTGATGATGATGATTCATATAGGGTTTGATATAGGCAAATACCATAAACAATTACACCTTCACTTTACAAGAAAGGTGATCACCTACGTTGGGCAAGTGAAATTATTTGTACCTATCAACTGCTAGTTAAGAACTATCTGTTTACTCATAGAGAAGAAGAAAAAGAAATCTATCTGTCTACTGATCGTTTGTTGTATATTTAGTCCTTTGCCTTTTTTCCCCCTTAGTTGCTAAGATGCTTTATTCTTCCATTTTCCCTTTCATCCAGGAAGGTTGACATTAACCAACTATGCTCTCTACTTTGAGTCTGGAATGGGCTTATATGATAAAGCAGTGCGATTTGATCTAGCGTCCGACTTGAAACAGATCATTAAGCCTGAGCTAACTGGACCTTTAGGTGCTCGCCTCTTTGACAAAGCTGTTATGTACAAGTCGTCATCTATGTAAGTTTCATGTTCTCAGTTGAAGCTATGTATCCTAACTCACCATGGACTACTAACGTTAAGTTTGTACAGGGTAGATCCTGCATATTTTGAATTTCCGGAATTTAAAGGAAGTTCAAGACGGGACTATTGGTTGGATATCTGTCTTGAAATCCTCCATGCTCACAAATTTACTCGGAAGTATAATATCAAAGAGGGGCAGCAGTTTGAAGCACTCGCTAGGGCTGTTCTTGGAATTTACCGATACAGGGCAGTAAGAGAGGCTTTTAAGGTATCTTCTTCCAACTATAAAACCCTACTGTGTTTTAACTTGGCAGAAAGTCTTCCTAGAGGAGATGCAATCTTGGAAACTTTATCAAGCCGCTTGACACTCATGAAATCTGCCGGCAATCATTGTGGATTATTGGGTTCTCCTAGTGCAAGGAGACAGGTGATACACCCAGTATCACGGGTGTCACTTTGTAGACTTGGTATTATCTCATGCAAGGAGGTTGACATAATTGGAGAAGCAACAAATTTGGTTGGAGATGTCTGTGTTGGTGAGGTAAATCCTCTGGAAAATGCTGTCAAGCAGTCAATGAAGAACATTGGAAGGGCTGAAGCTGCACAGGCAACAGTTGACCAAGTCAAAGTTGAAGGAATTGATACTAATTTAGCTGTAATGAAGGTGTGCAGTGAACTTCTTTGTCTTTCTCCTTTTGCTTAATGTATCGTTCCTGTGATTCTGGAGATTGCTGCTACTTGTTCTGTTCATGATAGTTGATCCCTGCTAAGGACAGTTCCTCGAACAGGAATGCTGCCTTAAATTGGGAGTTACTTCAGTCGATCCTATGGTTAAAAATGGTGCAAATCTGAAAAGCTGCAGTTCTTTTTTTTTCCCCAGGGAATTAAGAACGTAGCTTGATTGTTGTTCAGCAGTTCATATGTCTTTTGTTTTTAGAGTAGTTAGCAGCTCCACTAATTTGTGGCACCCTTTGGTTGGCTTTGCTTATTGTTGTAAAATTAGAACTGAGGAGTACCTGTTGGCTTTGCTTCTTGTTCTTAAAATTTGAAACGAGTTCCTGCACTCATCTTTGAAGAGTATCACTTCATAAACGGGATACTTGACTTGTGACGCATTATTGCTGCTTAGAAACTTACTAGTCATAGAACTAGTAGTACATAATGTTTCCTCATTCCTCAAGATCATCTTTTTTTTCTTCACAGGAGCTGCTTTTCCCTCTCTTCGAATCAATTAACCACCTTCAACAATTAGCTTCGTGGAAGAATCCATGGAAGTCAATATTATTTATGGTGCTTATAAGCTATGCTATAATCAGGTATCTAAGACTTATCTTTTCCTTTATCTTATGTGCGGGACAGAACTCGTGTCCAGATTTCTCCTTATGGGATGTGCATTGTCATCCCTTCCCATTCCTCGTTACCTTCTCATAGAAATTAATTGTGACTCTTTATAGAATTCCAAATAAATCACAATAATGCTCCGTAATGGAGGAGGCAATGCTGTAAATTTACATAGTTCTTGTATTGTTTCAAATTTTAAAAAGAGTTACAACAAGCCTGTAAATTGATTTTTGCAACATGAGTGCTGTTACAAGAAGCCACATTGCTCTCCCTTTCTTTAAGAAGCCATATTGCTCTTATACGCCTATAAAGTCCCTTCCTTTCTCACCTTTTCATAAAGTCTAGTAATCTCTCATTATATGAGTCAGCCGGTTAGACCTACATCTACATATTTCAAAAGAGATGAGTGTTGAAGATGAAACATTCAATTGGCTACTGACTTATAAAAACAATCAGTTAGCTTGTGAATATCTAAAGTAGGAGGAAATACATCTTTGGGGTACATAAAGCACCAGGGGTCGTGTAGCCCATAATGGGATAGTCTGGATTAACTATCCCGACTGGGCAGTGTTGAGGGGTTAATGAATGAGCTCGCTACACTTTGGTATGTGTTTGGTATATAACACTACTCGTGTGATATCCTTATATATATCTAGTCTACATCTCTTTCAACCTGAATAAAAAATTAATTTACAAGTGTAGCCACTGAAGCAATTGTTCTGATGTGTAAAGAAATTACCAAAAACTCATATTTTCACCAATAATATTTTCTCCGGAACAACAACAACAAACCAGTATAATCCCACATAGTGGGGTCTGGGGAGGGTAGTGTGTCCGCAGCCTTCCCCCTACCTTGTGGAGAATATTTGCTCCAGAACAATAATGCAAAAAGTAAAAGAGAGATAACGCAAGACCCAAAAAGGAGAAAAAATTAAAAGAACATGATTGCTAAAGAAGAAATTTTCAAGATAAAAAAGTAGAAAGGGAAAACCATAGAAGAAAACCCAACAAGAGAAATATAGATAATGTGACACTGAAAAACGGGAGAAGAGGCTTAACGTTTGGGTGGCTGAAATGGAGGAGGCCTGGGGTAAGAGCAGAGGGGTAAGGGACTATGAGGGAGAAAGAAAATTGGAAGAGGAATTTTTGCCGCCTTGTCTTTTAAAACTGAGGGAAACATGTACTCTTTTATGTCTTATTCCATTGGATTAATATTATGATCTCTTTTATGGGCTTCTTTATCAACTCTGTTTATGACTATTCATTCTGATGTATGGGGTCCTACCCAAACTGTTTCTTTGTCTGGTTGTCGATGGTTTGTTACTTTCATTGATTGTTGCACTAGAATGACTTGGATATATTTGTTAAAAGCCAAAACTGAAGTTTTCTCTTGTTTTTAGTCATTTCATAAGATGATTTGTACTCAGTTTGATGCCAAAATAAAAATCTTGAGAGCTGACAATGGTAGCGAATACATGGATAAAAGATTCGTTGCTTATTTGGAATCTAATGGGATAGTCCATCAGACTAGTTGTCCTTACACTAGTGCACAAAATGGGGTCGCTGAAAGAAAAAATAGGCATTTATCAGAAGTAGCAAGATCTTTTATGTTCACCATGCATCTACCAAAACCTTATTGGGGCATGCTATTCTAGTGACTGCCTATCTTATCAACAGAATGCCACTTAAAACCCTCAATTTTCAAAGTCCTCTGGAAGCTTTAAAGGGTAAGAATGAATACTCCAAAGGTGTTTAGGTGTGTTTGCTTTGTCCACACTTAGAAATTCTGGGAAACTTGATTCTAGAGCTATAAAGTGTTTTCATTGAATATTCTCCGACACAGAAAGGTTACAAATGTTATCATTCTCCATCTAGGAGATCTTTTGTTAGCATGGATGTTACTTTCGAGAATCAGTATTACCTCATCACCTTTTCAGGGGGAGAGTAGTAAGGAGGAAGAGGTGATTCTACCTAGTTCCATTACTGGACCTCTTGATGACATTGTCACATGGGAAAGTGAAATTGGAGAAATAATTCGGGGGAGACTATTGGGCGTTTGGATAGGCCTAATTTGAAAACTTACTCAAGGAGAAATAGAGTAGAAGAAGCCATCATGCAATCTACCGAGGCCGAACCTTCTTCTACTGGTGAGTTATCTACATTTCCTAATGGTTAGATGAACCTATTGCTTACATAAAAGGAGTTAGATCTTGCACCACCAAACATCCTTTATCTAATTTTGTCTCCTATAATTCTGTATCTCTTTTTTTTACAAAGCCTTTGCTTTGTCTATTTCTTCTGTGTCTATTCCCCAGAATTGGAGGGAAGCTTTTGCAGATCCTAAATAGAAGCAAGCTATGATTGAAGAAATGAAAGCCTTGTCAAAAAAATGAGATTTGGAAACTTGTCACTTTACCATCAGACAAGAAGTTGGTTGGCTGCAAATGGGTCTTCATTATGAAGCACAAAGCTGATGGCTCGATTGAAAGATTCAAAACAAGATTGGTGGCTAAGAGATACACTCAAACTTATAGAGTGTATCAAGAGACATTTGCCCCTGTTGCTAAGATGAACACTATTAGAATTCTTTTGTCTTGTACAGCTAATCTTGATTGGGACTTGCAACAATTTGATGTGAAGAATGCATTGCTTCATGGAGACATAGAAGAAGAGGTGTATATGGAGATTCCTCCTGGATTTGATACTGTGAGAATACACGGGAGAAAAATCTATCTTTTAACAATGACACAATGAGCCCTATATATATATATATATATTACATTTTCTACTCCTACTACATATAGGAGTAGGACATATTCTACTCCTACTACATATGAGACTAAGATTATTTACACATAACTATCTAACACTCCCCTCAAGCCGGTGCATACAAATCATATGTATCGAGCTTGTTACATATGTAACTAATACGAGGACTAATGAGGGACTTGGTGAAAATATCTGCAAGCTGATCATTCGACTTCACTACAAGTCATACCAAACTGCTGGATAACTGTGCTGAACTTACCAAACGAGAATCGAGAAGACTGCTCTAGACCATAAAGTGACCGGCGCAAGTGACATACAAGGCCATTAGAGTTTCCCGAAGCAATAAAACCAGGTGTGCTGATAAACAAGAGTTGGCCGAAAAGTCGCCGGAGAAATTTGAAAATAGTGAGATTAAGCCGAATTCCACATTACAAAACAGGTTCTAAAACATCACCAGAAAACAGAAACTTTTCTGGAAATCAATGTTCATGCCGAAAAAAGTGCACTGTTCACGTCGGTAAAATTAAAAGTTGTTAGAATTTGATGTAATTTATATGGGTAGGCTCAGAATCACTAAGCGGGTAAGATGTCCCGAAGAAGTTTTGTCCAAAAGTGGCCGGAATGGCTCACACGTGTAGGAAAAGTAACTGTCTCTTGCCGGAACCCTAGTTCTCGCGGCGTGTTAGGGACTTCCTGCCGGTTTTTGCCGGAGCAATTGACTGGGGTTTTGTCGCCTGACTTTTCCCAACAAGATGGTAGTGTTGGTTTTCGCACAACACTTACCGATGAGGAGATAATGCAAATTAATCTTGAGTCGTCAACCGAAAGACGCACGGTGACTGACTTTTCTGTTCCGATGAGAGGAGGATTTCTAGGGTTTGGTCTCACAAGAATTCTGGTTTTGATGTGGTACTGGTATATGCACAGTACCACTATAGCAGTGATGAACCCCGAGAACAAGACGAAGTTGCCGGAAAATTGCACAACGACGAGATCTTTCTTCCCGGATGTCGCTGAAATGACTTACAACGATAGTTTTCTCACTAAAGCTTTGATACCATGTGGGAATGCAGGGAGAAAAATCTATCTTTTAACAATGATACAATGAGTCCTATATACATATTCTACTCCTACTACATATGAGATTAGGACATATTCTACTTCCACTACATATGAGACTAGGATTATTTACACATAACTATCTAACAGATATTGCACAAAGTCAAGGAAAGGTATGCAGATTGAAGAAAGCCTTGTACAGACTGAAGCAATCCCCAGAGCTTGGTTTGACAAATTCTGCAAAGCAATGGTCTCTTGGTTACCAACAAAGCAATGCTGATCACACCCTTTTCATAAGACATCTTACGTGTAAACTTCCTCTTCTCATAGTTTATGTTGATGACATAATAAGAGATGACAAAGAGGAGATGCCCCGATTGAAGAAGTTGTTGGCACATGAATTTGAGATCAAGGATTTGAGAAAATTGTAGTAATTCTTGGGAATTGAGGTTGCTAAGATCAAAGAGGAATCTTTATTTCTCAAAGGAAGTATATTCTGGATCTCCCGAAAGAAACTGGTATGACAGGTTGTAGACTCGCAGAATCGCCCGTTGAAAACAATCACAAGTTAAAAAGTGGAGTTGGAGAGTTAGTTGATAAGGAGAGATATCAGAGAGTTAGCCTGGTGAGTCCGTTCATGCATGATCTCCGAGATCCTCATATGTAAGTCTGCTCCAGGGAAATGTCTACTTTTCTTCAAACATGATCACCTCCAAATAGAAGCCTTTACAAACGCGGATTGAGCTGGATCTCTGGATGACAGAAGATCTACATCCGATTACTGTACGCTCGTAGGAGGAAACTTGGTTATTTGGAGAAGCATGAAGCAAAGTGTAGTTACTAGATCAAGTGCGGAGGCAAAATATAGAGCTATGCTCCAGGGTGTTTGTGAACTGCTTTGGCTACAAAAGCTACTAGAGGAATTGAGACTCTGTGAAAAAGCAAAACTTTCCTTGTACTGTGACAATAAGGCTGCCATCAGTATAGCTCATAATCTAGTCTAGCATGACCGAACAAAGCATGTGGAAATTGATCAACACTTCATCAAAGATTAAATTACAACTGGTGTTCTCGAGTTTGTTTCATGTGCTATCGGAAAAACAGTTGATGTATTTACCGAGGGCCTCAACAAACGGACTTTTCATACATTAGTTTGCAAGTTGGGCATGTGCGAAATCTTTGCACCAACTTGAGGGGGGAGTGTTGATTGGCTTAATTATTAGGAAAGATTTGACTCTGATTGAGATTTGATTTTATTCTGATTTGTAATTGAATATAATTTATTTTCCTCCCTAAAATAGTAATAGGACCTAGTGTATAAATACCTTTGCTTGATGTAAGAAATACACATAAATACAAGAAGCCTTTTCTCCTTCTCAAAAATCTACAAAGAGCCCTCAGGGCCTAGCTCAAGTGGCAAAGGGTGGTGGATTTGTGTCTTATGTCACAGGTTCAAGCCCCCACACCATGCAAAGCAAAGCCTGGTATTTAAGTAGAGAAGGTTAGAGGGGCGGGCCCATTATCCACCGAGTTTCGAAGGTTGCGGTTGGTCCAAAGGATCGGCCCCAGACGGATTTCTCGGTCATCAAAAAAAATCTACAAAGATTTCATTCTTGAAAATTCAGGAGAAGCTTCTCCATCTATTTGTTGATTGCAATGTACTGACCTGGACTGGCAGTCATCATGTATATGCAAGTATTCAAACTTCTCTTGATCCTTTTTGGTGGCAAAACTACTCCTGTATCTGGTTTAGATTCTATCATCCTTTCTTGTCTACATTATGTCTTTGGTATCTTTCCCGCTATACTTGTGTGAACCAGACATAACTGGATATGACCTTTAAACATAGATTTGGACACAAGCTTTCTGCTGTAGGTGGGGACCCAATATGCCAGACTTCATTTCTGCCAGACTTCATTTCTGTTTAACACCATTGGTTGTTATGCGTCTTGAACATCAATAAGGGATCCAAATTTATCATGACCAAGGAGAAAAGTGGCTTTGAACTGATTCAGTGGTTGGTGTACCAGAAGACAATATGATTTATGTTGAGATCTGAAACAGAATTATGATTAATGGGATTTCCAACTTAGTAGACAAATAATCTGAATTCTTTTTGTCAATGAGACCTATTTGTGAAACTCATACATGGTCTAATTGCATTTGGGAAGTTGTGTTTTTGTGTTGCTTAGAGTTAAATTTTCTAAATAATGTACTTGTGGAGTAGTGTTGACTGAAATTTTATTGATTAAGTTCTGAGCATTTATCTTTCTCCTATCTTGCCTTTTTTCTTTTTGACGATGTAGGAAATTACATTAATGCTAGTTCCAAGATGTAGTGCAATTTTTTCCGAAAAAGTAATAAGGAGGTACTACAAAATTACAGAAGGGCATCATCAGTTGCATATAAATTTTGTAACCATCTGTTTTTAACAGAAGAGAGATGATGTTTGCTTCCTTCAAAGCATCTTTTATACCTTCCCAACCAAAGAGTCCACATGATGCACGTGCGATCTATACTAGATCTGACCATGATGCAAGATCTAGAAGGCCAAAAATCCAATAAATTCAAGAAGTCCAAGAAAACATCCAAAATTAGGATTTCTTTCCTTGAAGATTAGGATTTCTTATTTCTTGTTTCCTAGTAATTTAATTCTTATTTTAGTAGGATTATATTTGTAGTTTTAGTCAAACTAGGATTGTTAGTTGGTATCCCATCCTTACTAGAATTCTCTTTTCTATTTTAGTTAGGATATGTTTTTCTTACCCTTATTCTTATTCTAGTTTAATTAGGATTAGTTTTCTATAATCCATCAATTTTACTCATTGTAAGGCCTATTTAAAGGGCTCAATATGCTGAAAATAATGATGGGTGATTAGTTTTTCTAAGCTCTTGCTTCAAAAACGTGATTTAATTTTTATTTCAAAAACGTGATTGAGCATCTAAATCTCGGTTACCAAAAAGTTAACCAAACCCTGACTGTTACGAGAACATCATCGGATTTCAAAGTGGCACGATCTAATTCAAAATTTTCACCCAATTGAGCAATATTATTACTTTAATTTTATTTATCTTTATCTTTTAGTTAGGAATTGGTTTAAATGGAGCGACATAGTTAGGTGAGGATTCGTATATTCGACTCCGACTTGCTTGGAATTAAAGCATAGTACTCCCTCCGTTTCATATTAGATGAGGTAGTTTGACTCGGCACAAAGTTTAAAAAGAAAGAAGAAGACTTTTGAAACTTGTGGTCTTAAAAGCTTAAGGGATTAAAGGTTTGTGGGGCCATGCCATTTGTGTGGCTATAAAAGCTTCTCATTAAGGGTAAATGGGTAAAATGAAGAGTTTAAAGTTTGAATTATTTGCAAATTTAGAAATGTGTCATTTGTTTTGGAACATACTAATAAGGAAAGTATCTCATCTAATATGAAACAGAGGGAGTAGTAGTTTTCTTAGTTAGAAGTAGAATATAGATAACGTTATCTTTAGTTTGTTATGAGGTTTTGTTCGTTAGTTACAGATTAAGCTTTACCTAATCTTATTTTCTTAGTTAGACTAATACTTTTACTCCCTCCGTTTCAATTTAGATGATGTAATTTGACTTGGCACAAAGTTAAAGAAAAAAAGAAGACTTTTGAAACATGTGGTGCTAAAAGCTTAAGGGCAAAAATTTAGTGGGGCCATAGTATTTTTGTGACTATAAAAGTTTCTCATTAAGGGTAAAGTGGGTAGAATGAAAAGTTTAAAGTTAAATTGTATCTAAATATAGAAATGTGTCATTCTTTTTGGAACAAACTAATAAGGAAAGTGTATCATCTAAATTGAAATGGAGGGAGTAAAAGTTTTAGGAGTTATGGGACTATCATATACTTTGTTTCGAAGACATGATGAGTAATACCAAATGAACAATCTCTCTCTCTCTCAAAAAATCCCTCTCTTATTCTTCCCTCTCATCTCTCCTACTTCTCTCTATTCTTTCTCCCTTTCTCCTTTTTTTCACTTTTTTGCTATGTCAAGTTTAGCATACAGTAGTAATTTCCAGGTGTTATAATGTTGGAGTAAGATTCAGTTCACTGTAATCATTTCTGTAAAAGGAGAATGGAAATTGATCAGCTTCCTTCTATTTGAGGTGGCTGGAAAATTGTTGTGCTTTCACCTGATAATTTCGATTTTCTGTCTTCCATCAGAACACTGTTGATTCTATCTGTCTAAAATATACCAATTTCCTCTATCCTTTTTCCCTGTGATCCTTAGCTCTTCTGAAATGTTTCATTTTTCATATGCAGGGGATGGATAAAGTACTCATTGCCGGCGCTGTTAGTTGTGCTTGCTGTTATCATGCTCTGGCATAGGAATGTCGGAAAAGGGAGGCCATTAGAACCACTAAAAATCATAGCTCCTCCTCCAAAAAATGCTGTTGAGCAGCTTTTGTTATTGCAAGAAGCTATTAGTCAATTCGAGGCATTAATCCAAAGTGGCAACATTATTCTACTGAAAGTACGAGCTCTCATTTTTGCTGTCCTTCCTCAGGTATTATCATATATTCCTCGTATTGAACTGCTTTAAATCCAATCCAATATTTGGGTTTTGATGTCATATCTTAATTCTTAGCATAATTGATAGTTATGGGAGGGGGTTACACTTTTATAGTTTGAGATGTAATGCATACATGAAAGCGAGTGTGAAAACCTAGCAATAGTTGGGACTTTACAGAAGCTCTAGCTAGCATTTGGCCATAGATTCCCAAATTTGTTTTGAAAAATCTGATTTGGGTGAAGTTTGGTTTGAAGATGAAAATGTGTTTGGATATAAGTTTTCACAACATATTTCACTTTTTTCTTTTTGAAAAAACATGAAATATGATTTATACCCACAAGTTCTAAAAAGTATCACAAATACCCAACAGAACCTTTATCAATAACATTCATTATATTATCGCAAACCATAGTCATGAACATAAATAAATTTGGTACAAAATTATCTTTTTTATAGTGAACTACATAATATACTATCAGATGACCGAGGAGACGAAGCAGCATTGTTACAAAATAATAAATGGTGGACTCTTTTATAAAATACAAAAGTTTGGGGCATTTAAAAAATGTAATAGTGATTTTGGGCCAAAACCAGCTAAGATTTGGATTTTTGGAATTTTCTAAAATGTAGATAAAATCTATGGCCAAACATGTACTTGCCAAAAAAACCCCAAATATATTTTGGCAAAATCTATGGCCAAACAGGTCTAGAAGAGTTGGCAAACAACTTGTTTTTCTGCCATTGATAATGTTGAAGAGTTTTGACACAGTTACCCACAAAAACAAAATTATTTACCCTTGTCTACCCATTTGTTTTTCTACCCATAAACTAATTACATTTCCTACCCATAATAGTTTTTGTAGAGAATTTTTTCTTTATTCTCCAATTCTTTTTTATTTCTATGCTTCTTTTCTTCTTCTTTTTCCTTTTTTTTCTTTTCTGCTTTTCTTTTTTCTCGTATCTTCTTATTTTTTTCTTTTTTTCTTTTCTAATTTCATTTAACTTCTTTTTTTTATATTCTTTTTCTCTTCATAATCTAATTTCATTTACTGTTTTCATTATTTTTTATCATTCTTTTTTTATACAATAAGAAAAATAATTCATATAGTAAATATTTGTTCACCTTTTTTTAATATAACTAGTACAATATACCTTTTATTTTATTTTTCTTTCTCATTTTTTAAATTCAATAATTAAACTGAAATAATATCAGTTGTCACTTGATCTAATACACTGAATATCACATTGACTGCTGTTAAGCACCATAAATTACATAATCAGATTCTAAGAATCTAACACGTGATTACCATGCAAACCTTGATCTCCTTCCCTATAAATATCAATACACACTCTACCATTAGCAGTAATACAACGAGTTATAGAGCAAGAAAACATAATCTACGGCAATCAAATCTCCATATATACTAGTTAGAATAAAAAATAATAATAAAATATTAAAAAATAGAACAAAAGTATAAGTAGCGAAAAAGACTTCTAGTACCATGTGATACCAATATGGTATATATGTATACCAACAGAGCATATGATTTTGCTACAACTATCTGCGACTATACTACTCTACCAAAACATTAAAGGACGCAATAAAAGTATGAGAAAATTACATGCTCGTATTGCAAGATAAATATTCGCAAAATAACTTGCTCATTTCGCATACTAAGAGGGTATATAGTTGTATGGAGTCGTTCCAACAATTGCCTATAACTATAAAAACTATTAATACACATAATTTATGTCCATCGGCACACAAAAATTCCAGCATTATTGCAACTTATGTTGATATAAATAATTTCATAATAGAATTCACTTAAAATGCAGCTAAAACAACCAAAACAATGTTCAAACTACCATATGATACCAATATGGCATATAACTATACCAACATGGTATACAGTTTTACTAGTTAATTTCCGGCAACTATATGATTATACTACTATTACATAACACACATGCGTAAAGAGAAAAATAAAAAAATAGTGTACCACATATTAATATAATAAGGTATTTCAAGATATTGTGCTATATTATTATTATTAAAAGAAAATCAAATATTGTACCAATTAAATGCAGCTAATACAATCAAAAAATAATTCAACTACCATATGATACCAATATAGTATATAGCTATACTAATATGGTATATAGTTGGAATGAATTGTATACTAAAATGGTATATTTGTATACTATTTGGGTATACAATACAAATTTGTCTTCTTCTCTGGTTCAAATAAAAAAATAGTGTACCACATATTAATATAATAAGGTATTTCAAGATGTTGTACTATATTATTATTATTAAAAGAAAATCAAATATTGTACCAATTAAATGCAGCTAATACAACCAAAAAATAATTCAACTAGCATATGTTACCAATAGAGTATATAGCTATACTAATAGGGTATACAGTTGGAATGAATTGTATACTAAAATGGTATATTTGTATACTATTTGGGTATACAATACAAATTCGTCTTCTTCTCTGGTTCAACTAATTTCTTTGCCGTTCAACTCAATTTCAATCCAAGGTTTAAAAATCTACTTTAAAATCTCCACCAAATTGACTCGGAATATAGCCACATCCTCCAATTAACATTTCAAACATACTCGGTCAGAATCTGATCAAAATAACCACAAACTCAATAAATCCAATTTATGAGTTTCAAAGCTTCAAGGTCTTTAAATAGCAGATTACAATTTTTGCAGAAGTCAGAAGTCTTGGAGATCAAATCATAGAATAAAATAGAACGAAACACGTGCTGATTTAAGATTTGTCTGACGCGTATGTGTGTGTATGGTTGTGTCAGCTCTTACCAGAAACTCTTCACACGATTTAGGCTTGGAAACCAAGCAATAATAAGAGTTGACTCCACGAATTTTCCCAATTTGTAGTATCCAAAGAAGACTGTTAACTTGTCTTCTTTCACGATGAAGCAAACCCGCCCTTACTAAAATGAATTGCATTTTCAATTGCTCCCTCACGCTGCAGGTAAATTCACGGGTAATAAATTTAGATTGCCTAGGTAGAAATTGTAATTAATTTCCAAATGGGCAAATCCGGGTAAATAGTTTGGGAGTGATAGGCATTTTTAGTGTTATTTCCCCTTAATATATGTCAGTACTATAGTTTCATGGTTTGAGATATTTCATGCATACATGGAAGTGATGGAAAACCTAGCAATATCTGGAGCTGAAGAAGCTCTAGAAATTGGATACTGCGCAGGTTTTTCTGTGATAATCAAAATGAAGGTCTAAACAACTTGAAGCTTAGAGTTAAGAAGTTATCTAAAGACAAATTCTCTCTAAACTGAAATAATTGCACTCATTTTTTTGGAATATATAAATATCATTGTTAAGTCTACAATTTTCGCAAAGTATCTATTGTTGGTGATATGAATTTTATTTTCTTCATGTTTAGGCAACCGACAGGACAGCTCTTCTACTGGTGATCATGGCCTTGGCTTTTGCTTTTGTGCCGCTTAAACATTTGATTCTTTTTGCTTTCTTGGAGTCTTTCACAACGAACATGCCTCTGAGAAAAATTAGCAGCGAAAGAGGTCTCCGACGGATTAGAGAGTGGTGGATCAGGATACCAGCAGCCCCTGTGCAGCTTATGAAACCTGATGATAAGAAGACAAGATGACTAAAATGATTCATCACAATTATCTTTATAAACAAATACTATAATTTTAAACTAACCATGAAAGCTAGGAGTTTCGATTGATGGCATACATTCATTTAAAGACATTTTGAATTCGTAAAAGAGTTTCCCATTTTCACTACGTACTACACATTACGAGCATACGCGGTATCATTTCCTCCCCCCCCCCCCCCACCTCTCTCTCTTCTTTTTATTTTTGGATGGTAACTTTTTAGTCTTCCTATTTTAGCATAATTTCTATTTTAGTCCTTGTGTTATTTGGCTAAGCACATTGGACGTTCAATTAAAACAAAATGTGTTTTCTTTAAAAAATTACCCCCTTTATACCAAAATTGCCCATATTTTACTTTCTTTCCCAGCTTGGCCCACTTTGTAAATAACTTTTTTTATAATTCTTTAGCCCTACATTAATGTCATGCCCCGACCTAGGGAAATGGGATCGGGCTCAACCGAGATGTCCTGTCAAGCAGCCCTACTTGGTGGTAAAAATAGCACGGTCTAGCCAGTTTTCGGATTGGTCATTCAAAAATAGCCAGCGTTTACCAAGTCAATGAAAAATAGCCACTATTTTGCTGGAACTTCCAGTATAATATGCTGGAGTTCAAGTATATTTATGCTGGAACTCCAGCATAATATGCTGGCGTATTTTTCGGGTTTTGAACAGTGTTTTCGCTCAGATTTATCTTTACATGAAAAGTGGCTAAATTTTGATTACTTTTGAAACTGTGCTATTTTTGAACGACCACCTGTAAATCTGGTTATTTTTGAATTTCTGCCTGCTATCTAACTTTGCCTATGAATGATTCAAGTATAAATAACAAGACAATCCAGAGGATAAAAATGTACAACATTGAGTTTCATTAATTAGGAAATTTTATTTTTACAAGTCCATTGTTCATACGTGAAGCAACTGACAAGAACAATATTTATAGCTCCCCCCATTCAAAACATGACCCACAATATGTTTATGAAATCTCTAAATAGACATGAGAAAAGCAAGGCTCTGGCTATACCTCAAAATAATGTACAAGGAGACAATACAACATATGGGTCCCGCTACAGAGTAGGGTTCACCAAAATCTGCTGAAGAGTTAAGCTCCTACTGAGAGTTTCTGTCGCTTGCTGAGGTACCACCTGTATCCATTAAAGATGTAACGTCCTCGACAAAGGGACATTAGTAAATATGGAATACTACTAGTATGTAAAGCTAAGTACCCTCACATGGAACGAAATGCCAGCATAAGGAGAGAGATACATGGAAGTAATAAGAAAAGTCAACAACATTGTATACGGTCAAAATCATGTGCCCCCGATTTTGTAGGCTCGAGGGGTCGCATCGAGAACAAGTTCAATATGGACCGAGCTCGAGCCCGAAGGCAGAATACGAAGATCGAAGATTAAAGTGCTCGATGAACACCGGGGCCGAGTATGATCAACCTCGAGATAATACCGTTATGGTTTTATAACAGAAAGAGTGAGATTCCCGCAGTGGCCCTACGATCACGACGTAAATTCCGGAACAGATTTGTACTAGGCGATTAGACAGTTGTATAATAAGATTCCTTACTACAATTAGAATTGTACCTTAATTAGGATTCCCCTACTATATAAAGGGGACCCCAATCAATTTATAAGGATCATTAATCATTGAGAAGAGAATGTACATTTTCACTTTCTTGCCTACTATTCATCTGAATCGTCTTATTATTATTTTATTGTTCTTGTTCATTTACCTCGAGGTCGCCCATGCTCGAGATCGAGGTCTGCTTACACGTTTTGTTTGACTTGCCTTATTCTTACATTTACATATTAGATTCCTTGTTTATCAATTAGTATTGGATTAAATCACATATCTTTAAAATCACAAAACAAGTTTAATTGTTACTCAGATTTTAGGGAAAACAGTTTGGCGCCCACCGTGGGGCTAAAGATAATAGTGATTGTTTCAGTATTGATTCTGATAACATACGTTATTTTCACGCTTGTTCTTGTCAAGAATTTTTGTTCTCAGGTTGAATCATGTCAAACTCACAAAATGCGCCCGTACATGGCGATGATGGTCTTGGACTTCACAGGGATAATGATAATGTAGTTGCTCCCGGAGCCGGTGTGCCACCAGTTAACCACGGGGAAGTGTCGGTTGCAGAACCAATCGATGTTAGTTCGCACATTGCTTTGAATGCGGACTTAGGCACAGATCCTGGAGGAAGTGTACGCAGGGAAGTCCGATCTGGTGTCCAAAGAACGCAGGGTGTAGGAGATGGGGGAGTTATCCTCCGGCTAATATTCGAGATGTTACAAGCTTAACAGGTTGCTATCGCTCAGCTTCAAAGTCAACATAAAACTCCAAGTGTGGTCGAACCCAAAATCACTCGCCGTCCCGAGCCAGCGCCAGAAAGGCCGAACGGTAATGGATCGGGGACTGACCCCACAATTATGAAGGTGCTCGAGGAGCTCACCAAAAGAATCGAGTCGGGAGAGAAAAAGATTGAGGATAATGACAAAAAAGTGAAGACATATAACTCTCGTGTTGATCAAATACCGGGGGCACCCCCGATCTTAAAAGGTTTGGATGCCAATAAGTTCGTACAAAAGCCATTCCCTCCGAGTGTGGCTCCGAAGCCTATTCCTAAGAAGTTCTGTATGCTAAATATACCTAAGTACAACAGGACGAGCGATCCTAATGAACACATCACCTCGTACACATGCGGGATTGAAAGAATCGACTTAAATGATGATGAGATCAAGTCGGTTTTGTTGAAAAAATTTGGGAAAACTTTGTCAAAGGGAGCAATGATCTGGTATCACAACTTGCCACCGAATTCTATCGATTCATTTGCTATGTTAGCGGATGCCTTCATGAAGGCACACGCCGGGGCCATAAAAGTCGCAACGAGGAAATCAGATATTTTTACGATAAGGCAGAGAGGTAATGAAATTCTAAGGGAGTTCGTATCCCGATTTCAAATGGAGCTAATGGAGTTACATCCGGTCTTGGATGATTGGTCCGTGCAAGCTTTTACCCAGGGGTTGAACGAGCGGAGTTCGACCGCGTCACAACAGTTGAAGCAAAATCTGATCGAGTATCCAGCTGTAACTTCGGCAGATGTACATAATTGCTACCAATCAAAGATCAGGGTCGAGGACGACCAGCTGGGAGCTCCCTCGGGTTCAGTTCATCCAAAAAGATTGGCAGTTAAAGTCCCGAGAGATACCGACAGGGAACCGAGGTCGAACAGAGAAAGATATCGGCCATATGTTGCAGATCGAAGAAACAATGGTTCGGGGCGCAACCCTCCTCGGAATGATCGAAGAAATGATCGAGGGCACAATTCTCGGGGGCTTATGAGTAAGAATGGTTTTGATAAACATACCGATCCCACAGAAGCACCTCGGTTATCGGAGTATAATTTCAGTCTCGATGCATCGGGGATCGTATTGGCCATCGGAAGGATCAAAGACACCATGTGGCCAAGACCTATACAAACCAATCCTTCTCAAAGAAATCCAAACTTGATGTGTAAGTATCATGACACGCATGGCCATAAGACCGAAGACTCCAGAAAGCTGAGGGAGGATGTAGCTTGATTGTTCAACGAAGGCCATCTTCGAGAATTTCTTAGTGATCGAGCTAAGAATCACTTTAGAGAAAGAGACGCCAACAAAAAGAATGAGCAGGAAGAACCGCACCATGTATGATCGTTGGCAGGGTTGATGTTCCACAAGGGCCTATATTCAAACGAACCAAGGTGTCGATCACCAGAGAGAAGCAGACTCGGGGCTATGTGCCCGAAGGCATCCTATCGTTCAATGACGAAGAAGTTGAGGGCATTTCTCAGCCGCACAATGACACCCTAGTAATTTTTATTTTGTTAAATAAAATTTTAAGTTAAACGTGTTCTAGTGGATCCAGGTAGCTTAGCAAACATAATCAGATCAAGGGTCGTGGAGCAGCTCGGCCTGCAAGAACAAATTATGCATGCATCTTGGGTCCTATACGGCTTCAACATGGCAAGCGAAACAACGAAGGGGGAGATAATCCTACCAGTGAACGTGGCCGGGACCATCCAAGATACAAAATTCTATGTCATTGAAGGCGATATGAGATATAATGCACCACTCGGGAGGCCATGGATCCACAACATGAGGGCAGTAACGTCGACCCTTCATCAGATGATGAAATTCCCAACAGTGGATGGTGTGAAAACAATTTACGGGGAACAACATGCTGCAAAGGAAATGTTTATAGTCGATGAGGTGACACCGATACCAGCGCCTTTGACCTCAAGAAAATCAAGCACCAAAAATAAGCAGATGGCCAAATAGCAATCACCGTCACCAGCTTCGACCGAACCGGAAAAACAGGTAATCAAAGAAGAAGATGAGGATTTCCTTACTCCTCTAACTTTCATTGTTCCCGAAGAATCAGATGCAACCAAGTCAACGGTCGAAGAGCTGGAACAGGTGATATTGATCGAGCATCTACCCGAACGTAAGGTATACCTGGGAACGAGGTTAACCCCCGAACTCAGGAAAAAACTCATTCAATTTCTTATCGATAACATGGATTGTTTTGCTTGGTCCCATTTAGACATGACAGGGATCCCACCGGAAATAACAACACACCGGCTAAGCCTCGACCCCAGGTTCAAACCAGTAAAGCAAAAAAAAGGCCCCAGTCCGAGGTGAAGCATGCATTCATAAAGGATGAGGTAACTAAACTTCTTAAAATAGGGTCCATTCGGGAAGTAAAATACCCCGAATGGTTAGCCAACGTAGTTGTAGTCCCTTAAAAAAGGAACAAACTTAGAATGTGCGTAGATTACAAGGATTTAAAGAAGGCATGCCCTAAAGACTCCTTTTCACTGCCTAACATCGATCGCATGATCGATGCCACGGCCGGCCACGAGATCCTTACCTTTCTCGACGCCTACTCAGGGTACAATCAAATTCAGATGAACCCGGAGGACCAGGAGAAGACCTTGTTTATCACTAAGTTTGGAACATACTGTTACAATGTAATGCCCTTCGGGCAAAAAATATTGGAGCTACATACCAACGCCTAGTTAACAAAATGTTCGAGGAACAGATAGGTAAATCAATGGAAGTTTACATTGACGA